TTTTGAATCTAGCTATTCTGTTCATTACCGTACTTTCAACATGCAGAGTTGATAGATTTCTCAGCTAAGGACCACCTGTGCCAGCGGACAATTAATCGGCAGCTCTGCTTTATTTCTCACCTTGGTCATATGGTTGCATCACCACTGGTATATCGCTGATATTGGGATCCACAGATTCTATTTTAGAAACGCATTTGATTCACCTGACTGAAATGCAGTCTAACCTATTGTATCTCATCAAACATTGAAAGAGATGAATGCATCATGCTGTTTTGATGTGTAATTTTATCTGCATACAAAGCATACATTATATATATTCATATACTGAATATTCATTGGTATTATTTCATTTTTTTATTCTCTTGTGTAATTGTGGCTATCCTTGTTTGTGTCAGGATATTATGTTTGTTTGTTTGTTTTACATCTATAGCCAGGATCCACCTTGTACATCCCCTTTTTAAGCATCTACTTTTTTCGTTGAGCTCTGATTTTATCAAATGTATTAATATAGTTTTATTTTTATTGAAAATATTGCTATATTTTTTAAATGTTTGTATTGTCTTAAAATAAGCATTATTTTGATTATACATGTATTACCAAATAACAATTTTGAATGGCTTTCTAGACCTTAACATTTTATTGCTAGTGGAATATTTTTCATTTATTTATTTTTGATTATATTTTTATTCTATTTTTCATTCCCAATTATTACTGTGACCCAAAGTGGAGTTCCACAAACCATGTTTGGGTTTAATTGGATTATTTTATTCACTTCAGGGGTAACAGAAGTGAAGATCTATTAATGGACAATGAGATGCATCACCAAAGAAGTTCATCAGTCGGCAAATATGGATCTACAGATACTAGCAAATACTCTTATATGGACAAATCTAAAACTGGTGGGGAAGACAGGTACCATTCTCAAGATGCAATCAGACAAGACAAAACAGGAGACAGGCAAAGGTATATCGAAGACAGATTCAGTCATAAGGATGAAGATAGATATAGAAAGGAAAATAAAAGTTATGAATACAAAAATAAAGAATATTTTTGATGCAAGTGAAAGAGACAAAACAGAAAGAGATGTTTCAAGCAGAAAAAAAAGAAGATTATCCAAGGATGCTGAAGACGATGATTATATCCATCCGAAGCGAGTAACTACTCCTGGCCAAGGGCAACAAGGGTATTCAGATTATGATAAGAATGAACAAAATGAGTATGGAGACGTTGACTACAGATATGGTGATAATTCACAAAAACAATCAGAGAGAGATGATATGCACAAAGTATTCAAAAAGCAGTCATCTGACTATCCATTCTGGGAGCAGCAGGAGGCTGTGTCTAGTTTCTTCTCCAAGTGTGATACAAAGATTCCTGGCATTGCAGATGATGATGCTGAGGATATGTTCCTATATGGGAATAATTCCAAGGAAAGAATAAAAGAAGATCCAAAACCAAGCACAAGAGTTGATTTAAGGAGTATTCTAGGGTATGTGACAGATACCTATTCTAAGAGAGATGAGTTGCCTCACCCAGTCAGTCAGGCGAACTCTCAGTCAGATTTCCAACCTAAGAGTTTAGAGTCAACTTATAGAATGCCTACAAATCAACCTAGTGTAAGAGATGAAACTCCTATCAGATCAGTTCAGAAGTACACAACGACTCAGCCTAAATCAGAGCCAGTCTCTCAAACCAGAAAGGTTGAAATCGTTTCTGGGTATTCCCAAACTAGAAGTTCCTATGGTGTTTCTCTAGCTGAAACAAAAGTGACCTCTTCTGATAAGAATTTACAATTCCCTTGTGGTTCACAACAACAACAACAACCTCATCAGCATCATCATCAACAACAACAACAGAAGCAACAGCAGCGACAACAGCAGCAACAACAACAACAACAACAACATCAGCAGCAGCGACAACAGCAGCAGCAGCAGCAGCAGCAGCAGCAGCAACAACAACAACAACATCAGCAGCAACAACAACAACAACAACAACAACATCAGCAGCAGCAGCAACAACAACAACAACAGAAACAGTTGCCACCACCACCTTCAACTCCATTCTATAGTAACACTCAATCAAATCAGTATAGGCAAGAAAGTTATTCTGACAATAGAGGACAGTCTTCCTCAATGAGTTCATCAAGACCACCTTCAACCCAAGTTATGGCAGATAAACAAGTTAAGATACAGGCTCCTATTCAGCAGATTTCAAGAAGTTCTTCAGTTCAGCAAGTTCAACCAATAACCACTCATATGCCAGGAAGACACTTAAATAGAGCACCACAACCTGCCCAGGCTAGCCAAATCTTTCGTCCAATGATGGGAGGACAATTTAACGCACCACAACATCCAAGACAATTTTATAACAGACCCTGGATGAGTAATGTGCAAGGAAATTTCAATCGTGGTGGGCCTCATATGATGGGTATCATGAGACAACCTGTTCGGTATATGAGGCCACCATTTAATATGCAGTCACAAACTCAAGTTTTCCCTCATATGCAAAATCCTGTTGCAATACCACCTCCTGCATCATCTAGTTCTATTATTATGACATCCCCACAAGCTAACAAGACGCCTCTGAAAAATAAACAAGAGCAAAGCCCACGCATAGTGGGTCAAACAGGAAAGAAAATGTTACCAGCAATGACAATGGAGTCTGTACTCAAGCTGGAAGATGTTCTTGAAAGAAAGCAAAGTGTTATCACTAAAAACAAGATGGTGTATCAGGAACTAGTAGGTTATAAAAAACAAATTGATAGTTTGAAGGAAAGATTTGGTAAAGATGCAACAAAGTTCAAGACTTGCTTCACAAAAGTATACAAACTGGTAGATGACAGTGAAGCTCAGTTGGCCCGGTTTCAAAATGAAATTGCTAAATTCCAAGACGAGTACAATAAACAGTATGCAGCTCTGGATCCCCAAACCAGAGCAAAATTCAGGTCAAGACGTGTGAAAAAAAGGAAGAGTTCGAAATCCATTGATGTCCAGTATAAGGTGAGATATCAGTACCCATACACATTTAGTTGTATATATAATATGACAGAACCCCATGACCTCGCCCTGATGTTTGTGGGATATGGCTGTGGATACACCGAACCACGAGTGAAAATAACTTCCATACTAAACAAGCAGCAGGGCATGGCCAAGGTGTTCAACAACCTTTGTTGCCCTCAAGTCGGAAAATTGGGTCGGTCGGTCTGGATATTTTTGTTTTTTTTTGTTTAAACTCTTGAAAACTAGGGCTATCGTAAATAGCCGAGGTATATGGGAAAAAAAACGCGACCCGATATTTCATACTTTTC